GAAGCCCCAGGACTGGGTATTTTTAAAAATAAAACAGGCTCTGGCAATGGTTAACTGTAATGAATGGGCTAGAGCCTGACAGACCTGAGCTTGCTCCAAAACTTGCTAACTGTATGATCCTGGGCCAGTGGCTTAAACTCTCTGAGCTTGTTTCCTAAACCATAAAGTGGAGGTAATACAACCCCCATCTCTCAGGACTGCTGAGAGGATCGGTCAGCCACAGAATACTCATGCAATAAATGGCATGTCCTTCCAGATTATTCCAAAGATATCTCAACAATCTCAATGAGGCAAAAGAAACACGACTTACCCCTGTATCCCTCAGGTTTGTTTGTGGAGCATGCCCAGAAGAGCATCCTAGTGTTTATTAGTGAAATAACTTCAGGAGCACAGAGTGTGGTGCTGTGGAGAGGGATGAAGAGGACATGAGAAGAACTTGCTTACTACAAATTATCAGTAGATAAGATCAGAAAAGAGGGGAAAAAAAAAATCAATCCACTTACCGACAGAACTCATCAGAGTCCTGGTGATCATCTCCATGAAGATAAACCAAAAGAAAGCGAAGCTCCCGTTTGGCATCATTAAGTGCCTGTGAGAAACAAAAGATCACAAATTATGATGATGACTGTGCCTCAAACTTTTAGTTAGGCTAAGGGTCCTAATGGATACAGCTACGTATTTAGGAACAAAAGAAGAAATGAGGGAAAAAGGTGAGCAAGAAAACCAGAAAATTCCTGGGTTCCTACCTTCATAACCCTGGCATTTCTCTCCCTACAAAAAGTCCATGCTAACAAGCTTCAATGAAAAAGTTTTTAGTGTTGTTAGGATTTAAATTCTATCAGGCACATAAGAGTAGGCAGGCTGACAAAAAAAGGCCCCCTCCCCACCCAATCACAGAAAAGTCATCTGTTCCCACAATCTAAAGGAAGATGTAAACAGGAAAATCTGACCTGAAAAGGGAGATGAGAGTTTTGCCACTTTACAGCTACAACATAAAAAATACTGCGAAGATGAGCCTGATCCAAGGCCACATACCAAGCAGGGATGAGGGACTGAGGGACCCAAGGGCATTTTAAAGAGCATGGGGTTTAAAAGATCTTCAAAGACAAGGCTAGTGTCCCAGATTTCTGTGTATGCTTTTGCATTTGCAGAATCCCAAGTACATTACAATTTAATTAAGATTTCCTGAATGACCATTGGTGGTCTACCTTCAGGATTACAGCAAAGAGGGTGTATGAGAGGTGCCCATCTCATTCATGTCTGTATCTCTAGCACTGAGCACAATGCATGGCATATAGTACGTGCTTAATGCTCATTGAGTGGGGTGGGAGCAGCCAGTGGGAAAAAGCAGATGTGGGAGAATCACAGAAGGAAGCAAGAGTAAGCATTTTTCTCTTTCTCCAGATAGATCCAGGAATCCTGGAGGCTGCAGAACCACCCTCAGGCATAAGGTGTTACTTCTACATTTTTCTCTGGTAAACTAGAGATATGCCCAACACCCATAGAACTCCTAATTTTTGCTCCCTGAGAGGTAACAACAGTCGAATGTCTGCGTGGCTTGGGTTGAATGAGATGTGTTGCTTTGAGTCTATGGTCTATCCCCTTATTCAATTCTGCGAGGGATACAAGACTTAGGTTTTGCCTATAAGGAGGAGCTTGCAGTCTGATACAGGAGATAAGACATTAACACAAACAACTATAAAATAAGGAAGAATGTGAAATTGCTATAACGTTTAAAAAAAAAGAAAACCACTATGAAAGTACAAAAGGAAAGACTACTATTTTAGATTGCAAGTAGGCAGGGTAGGGCGCAACAATTAGGAAAGGGTACAAGAGGGGAGTGACATGAGCTGGTGAAGGATGGGCAAGATTCCAATTAGCAAAAATGTGAGGAAGGCATTCTAGATAGAGGAAACAGTAAATCAAAAGCAAAGGCACAGAGGTGGGAAAGTACAGAGTATGTTAAGGGAATGGTCAGCTGGAACCTAGGGTATAGGGAAACAAGTTATGCAGGAAGGACCTCAAAAGGAGGTTGGGATTAGATCAAGGAGGGCCCAGCTAAAGGGCTTGGTCTCTTTTTGTGTAAGCAATAAAAAGCTATTTAAAGTTTCTGAATCAAAGAATGACATGATCAGTGCTAAGCTATGCTTTCCTTTGAGGATAGAATCATATCAATAAATTGGCATCTATATGGTTTGTGGCACTGACCTGGCTGTACGTTCCCTGGTAGAAGACAGGGTGTGCCCTCCCATATTTCTCTTCAAAAGAGTGCATAAATGAAACAATGTCCCCAACGGGGTCAGTGACCCGGCTGCGAGGGTCAGGCCGTATAAAACGAAGAGCAAACCTGGGGAGGAAGGAATAAATATCACATGAATCGGCTTACTGTAGTGCATATGGAGTGGGCCAGTTTGTAAAGATTCCTATAGCAGAGCCATGGGCATGGCAGCAAAGGGAGGTGAACGGTCTGTGAGTGGACCATCAAACCTGAGAGTACAGGCTAGCTCAAAAGCCACAAAGCAGCAAGTGTTACACCACTGTCTGCTTAAGAAGAATGCAAATTACTAGAATTATAAATTCCAACACTGGCCTAAACAAATCTTGAGTGCTTTTTGCAGAAAAATTTAGGGCTATAAGAATTGGGAAAGGAAGACGCAATATCCAAAAAGATCACAGGTCAGGCTGTGTCCCCAGACTCTCCATAACGGCACTGTCTAAAACAGCAGCCACGAGCCACATGTGGCTATCTAAATTACCAAGAAAATTAATTTAATTAAATACAATTTTAAAAATTCACTTCCTCACTCACACCAGCCACATTTCAAGTGCTCAACAGCCACATGTGGCTAGTGGCTTCCACACTAGACACTGCAGATATAGAACATTTCCATCATCACAGAAAGTTCTATTAGTGCTATTCTAGAACAGAGCTGTATCTCTTTCTGGTTCTTCTACTTGCCTCTCCCTTTCCTTTCTGTTCTCCTGGGATTTTGAATTATGAGTCCACATTCCCAAACTATTCAAATTATGGACAAGAACTTCAAATCCAAACTTGCAGTCATGACTGACTTGCTCTTCAACGGGGCAAGTAAATTCTGCTCAGTGATTTATGGTTGATAGCATCCATGGAGGAAGTTATAAAATGGTTCTAGACAACACTGGCAGAGTTGGAGACCTGGCAGTTACTGTAAGGTTAAAGACGGTACCACACATCTGTTTCTAAAGAGCCCATCTTATCACATTTGTATAGTACCAGTTATTTATCCTCTGGGTTTCCATAAAAAGCAAAGGGGCAGGGGCTTGATAAGTCAATGTGCTATGTAACATTAAATAAGTTACTTGGATGATACAGTTGGATTAAAATTAGTAACACATGCCATGCATATTTTTTCCCAAAGAAAGCAAACAATATTCATATACTTAAAGAAATATCAGCATAGAAAAGCTGACTAAACTATGATACCTTCCTTACCAAATATCGAGCCAATTCCTTATCCCCTTAACAAATTCCCCATATAAACATGATTTCACTTGGAATTTCTCCTGAGTAATCAAATCAAACTCATTGACACAAACATTCCAGAGCAAATTAAAAACAAAAGTAAGAAGCTGTGTATGTGAGGGAGTGATTAGAAATCCTTAAGAAGATTAATGTTTTGATAACTTTCTCTGAAGTCAAGTATTTTAGGATTATCTTATTACTCTTTAAGTTTTCAAATTTTGATGAATGGATAAAGGTTTTAATTTTTTTATTTCTCATTACAATATATTCCAATGGCCAACACAATTTAGGACAATCAGCTTTTTAAAAAAAATAGAGATATCAACTAAGACTTCATTATGATTTTAAAGGTTTTTACATGCCCATTCTTAGGTATTGTCTGATCCTCTGCAGCTGCTGGGTCCTTACCTTCAGGCTCTGCTCCCTAGAGCAAGGCAAAGATTAGCCCATATTTAGAGGAAGGTATAGAATGCCCTGTATGCAAGGTTCCATCTGTTGGCATGGATGCCCATAAAACATTTTAGTTCTCCATGAAGTCTAGGTGTGGGTTCATCTACTACTGAGTTCCAGACCAGACACCCCAAGTCTGATGTGCCAGAAACTTGGGCCCCTTGACATTTTCCAGCCTTTCTGTAGCTTCCTGTGCTGAGCTCTCCAAATGGTACATGAAGGAATTAAGAAGAAAGGTGAAAGTGTGAAGCAAGGGGGAACACATATGGAAGGGTTCCAGTGCCAGCAACCTATGGGTTGCCAGGACAGAGAAAAATGTACAGAAGGTGTGTCTAGAATGGTGAAATTGTTATAGGAGGAATCTAGAAGAAAGTAGGTCATCTCAGAGCAAAAGAATTTGTTGGAATTATGAGTTGTAAAATGATTTAGGGTAAAAGTTACAAGGAGTGTGAAGCTAGTAAAGATAACAGAGGTTGGAAAGGAAAGGGTGTGAAGATTAACTAGGGAATGTAGGGGGACAAACATGTGGGATAGGGAGGCAGACTTATTTGTGAAAATGATAACATCTGTTGTTATGTCTGAAAAACCGAAAATATTTTCATGCTATATGAATACTTCAGGAAAAGTATTCAATCTGATGACAAACTGGCAGCCAAAATTGATAGAGCATAAACCTTATTCTGGTCTATGTTTCAGCTCCAACATCTACCTTGTTACTACTAACACATACATACAAAGGTACATACCTAAATATATCAAGTATTGTATAATAGGTAAACCGGAATGGAAGCATTATCAAGTAATAACCCCATCCAAGCAGCCCCTGAAATTCCAAAAACAAAGTTAGATATCATTTTCTCAATCCCTAATACCTTAATTGCTAGTTAAGATTTACATTCTTTTTTGTCCTTTTCTTGTAATTTCTCCCGCTGCAAAACAAGGTTCCCTTTTCCTGGCCCACCTCATCCTTCTTAAAAACCAACTACCTTTGACCTCACTTCATCTAATACTATTATATTTTTCTTTTATACAATAATTTTTGTATTAAATTTGCTTGAACACTTATTCTGCAGCTACTTACATACATTAGCTGTCAAATTCAGTTGCAAGTTTTCCTCTCTAAATCATAAATATTCATTCTTTCCTTTTTAGACTTAATATATTAAAATGTGGTATATAGAAATAACAAGAAAGATAACCACTACTGCCACCTTGAACATCTGTATATAAATGACAAATAATTATATTAACCACAATTATAAATCTCCAAACAGCTGCTAATCTTGGTAATACTCTTAATTATTATTTTAACAGTGTTGATTACTGCTGCTCTTATTATTAATTAGCAAATATATAGGGCTCTATAGCTTACAAAACATTTCTTACACGGTATATTGTGTTAATCTGAGACCCTCTGTGTCCATGGCCAGGGAGCTCTAGAGCTCTGGAGCCCCATTAGTGGACATTAGGGTCCCAAACACATTCAAGCCCAAAACAACTGGAGAAACATTGGACACATATAGAACTACTCCTTTTTTTTTTAATTTAGAAAAGAAAAAAGTTTTCTTTTTCTTTTTTTTTTTTTTTGGCCACACCACACGGCTTGCAGGATCTTAGTTCCTTGACCAGGGATTGAACCTGGGCCCTCAGCACTGAAAGTGGAGTCCTAACCACTGGACCGCCAGGGAATTCCCTAGAACTATTCCTTGAATCATATAATTGCTCTAGGAATCTGTGCTGTTCTACTTCAGAATACCCCAAAACATCTACTTAGAAACTATTTTTAAAACATTATCAAGTACTCCACAAAAAGGAGTGATGGAGTAAATTCTAAATCCAATTATAAGAGGTGAGTGTAACTCCAAGAATAAGAAACTCCAAAAAGTTCTCTGGAGTGTTCACTATCAGTATACACACCTGACTTCCCTAATTTGACTGAATAATTTGAAGAGGGAAGAATGCCTCTTTATTCATCTCTAGATCCCCAACAGCAAAATATCAAGGACCTTGGAACACTCTTAAGTGCTTGCTGAATTTAACTGAACCACCTCCTCGCTGCTAGCCCTTCAAGACTAATTTCTCCCACAGAGATTACAAGTACTTCCCTAGAAGTAGCTTAAAATTAAGTAAAATGAAGCAACAAAGAATTCAGTAAACACTCTAACTTAAGAGTGGAAGATCTATTAAACACATAGCAAACATTTTTAGACATGTAAATACATGTAGATGAAGTGCTATAAACAAGGCACAGAAAACTCTTCAAATAACTGGCATGGAAACAGGAAAAAAAAGGATACTTTCATTGGTTCATTAAGGAATAAAGGAAAAATGATAAACCCAATAAACCTACCAAGGAGCTAGGTCAAGCTAACAGCTTTATATTCTGAATATTCCTTTTGTTCCTATCATACAGAGATCAACATAACCAAGTGAAAGAACTTTTAAAATAAAAAAGGGAGAAATTCCAGCTATGAAATAACTTGCCCTTGGTTGTGGTCTTGAAACAACATAGCTGTAGATCCTGTGGTCGGCTGTATTAACTTGCAAGGGTCGGGATGGTGGTGGGTTGAAAACACTTGGTACACCCTCTTGCTCGTTCAATCTGTCCTGTACAGCAGCCTGAGAAGAAAAGAATAGCAAGAACTTCAGTGATGCTCAAATCAACCTAGAAGAGATGAGACAACCATTGCTGGTGTTTCGAAATAGGTCACCAGGGAGTATATAATTATGAACCTTTCTTTAACTTGCTATGGTGGGAGGCAATGTGTGGTGATGGCTCCAGAATTCATACACAGTAGAGGAGTACTAGGAACTTGTCTGGAAGCTCACTGCTTTTATTAAGATGGTATGTGTTATTTAGGGTGGCTGGGATACAAGGTGCTTCACTGTACAAGCGTAAGGAAAACCATCCACAGAGAACACAGCAAAGCAGACTGTGTCCCCAGAGCTGTGCAATGGAGCAATCCTGATAGTTGGTGTTTGATGGAAGGCTTGGCTTTGGAGCAGAGAAACTTAGGTCTGAATCCTAGCTCCAGCACTCAGAAGAATTGCTTGGATTCTGTGCCTCAGTTTTTCATGTGCAAAATGAAGAAACAATACTTCTCAGGGTTAATTTGAAAAATTAATGAGGTGACCATACACAAAGATTCTAATATAATTCCTGGCAGACAGACGATCTTCAGTTAAAAAGTCTCATTCCTTTCCTAACTCTGCCCCTGAAAATGGATATTTGTCCCACTGTAGTAAAAAAATTTGGCCTTACACAAGAGGAGGTCTGATCTCTGCCTTCGACTTCTGGAGATAATCTATGTCACACCTGATAAGAGTATCTTTGCTATGGGAACCTAGGGTAGGGCTGACCACCCTAGAAAGACCAACCATTTAATTTAGGCTGGGGATTTTGGGTAATGCAGTATCAGTCAACCTAGAGACTGAGTTCAATTACATAGGCAACCAATCAAATCAATCATGCCTATGTAATGAAGCCCCAGTGAAAACTCTGGACACTGAAGCTGAGGTGAGCTTCCCTGGTTGGTAATACTTCATGCATATTGTCACACACTTGTGCCAGGAGTGTAACATGTCCTGATTCCATGAGAGAAGTAAGGAATCTTTGTGTTTGGAACTCAAGACTCTGCACTAAGTGTCTCTTTCATTAGCTGATTTTAATCTGTATCCTTTCCCTGTAATACACTGTAACCATGAGTTATAATACCTTTCGGTGAGCTCTTCTAGTGAATTATCAAACCTGAAGGTGGTTTTAGGAACACCTTGAACTTGCAGTTGCTGTCAGAAGTGAGGGTAGGGACTTCCCTGCTGGCATAGTAGTTAAGATTCTGCCTGCCAGTGCAGGGGACACAGGTTCAAGCCCTGGTCCGGGAAGATCCCACATGCCACGGAGTAACTAAGCCCGTGCGCCACAACTACTGAGCCTGCACTCTAGAGCCCGCGAGCCACAACTACTGAGCCCATGTGCCACAACTACTGAAGTCCGTGCGCCTAGAGCCCATGCTCCGCAACTAGAGAAGCCACCGCAATGAGAAGCCTGCGCACCACAACAAAAGAGTAGCCCCCTCTCAACACAACTAGAGAAAGCTCACGGGCAGCAATGAAGACCCAACGCAGCCATAAATGAATGAATAAATAAAATTAATTAATTAATTTAAAAAAAAGTGAGGGTGGTCTTTTGGAGGACTTGTGTGTCCTCCAACCTTGACAGTTGGCTTTAAACTTTGCCATATGGCTAACTTCATGTAGTCCTGTAGGTTTCATGTTTTCAAATATTAAGACACAATTCAATGGAGAAAGAATAGTCTTTCAACAAATGAGGCTGAGACAACTGGACATTCACATGCAAAATAATGAAGCTGACCCCCTAAATCACACTATATACAAAAACTAACTCAAAATACATCAAAGACTTAAATATAAGAGCTGAAATTATAAAACTCCAAAGAAAACACAGGTGAAAATCTTGTGACCTTGGATTAGGCAATGGTTTCTTAGATAAGACACTAAAAGCACAAGCAATAAGAGAAAAAAATAGATAACTGGACTTCATCACAACTGAAAACTTTTGTGCATCAAAGGACACTAACATAGAGTCAAAAGACAACCCCACAGAATGGGAGAAAATATTTACAAATCATATATCTGATAAGGGTCATCTAGTATCTACAGTATATATAAAGAACTTTTACAACTCATCATTGAAAAGACAAACAATCCAATTTAAAAATGGGCAAAGGATTTGAATAGACATCTCTCCAAAGGAGATAAACAAATGACCAAGAAGTATATAAAAAGATGTACTACATTATTAGCTATCAGAAAAATGCATATCAAAATCACAAGATACTACTTCATAACCACTAGAATGACTGTAATATAATAAAAGACAGATGTTACAAGTTGTAGGTGAGGATGTGGAAAAATTGGAACCATCATATACCATTGCTGGGAGTGTAAAATAGTGTAGCCTCTTTGGAAGCAGTCTGGCAGCTCTTCAAAAGGTTAAACATAGTTATCATATGATTCAGCAATTCCACTCCGAGATATATACCCAAGAGAAATGAAAACATATGTCCACACAAAAACTTGTACACTAATATCCACTGCAACATTAATGACAAGAACTGAAAGGGGAAACAATCCAAATGTTTATCAACTGATGAATGGATAAAGATATTGTGGTAGATTCATACAAGGAATATTATTTAATAAAAAATAAAGTATTGATACACGTTGTGACATGGATAAATCTTGAAAACGTTATGCTAAGTGAAATAAGCCAGACACGAAAAGACAAATATTGTCTGATTCCACTTATATGCGTATCTAGAATAGTCAAATTTTATAGTGACAGAAAGAGTTGCGGTTACCAGAGGTTGGGTGGAGACAGTAATGGGAAGTAATTGTTTAATGCGTATAGAGTTTCAGTTTGGGACGATGAAAAAGTTCTAAAGATGGATAGTGGTGGGACTTCCCTGGTGGCGCAGTGGTTAAGAATCTGCCTGCCAATGCAGGGGACATTCAATCCCTGGTCCGGGAAGATCCCACATGCCACGAAGCAACTAAATCCCTGTGCCACAGCTACTGAGCCCGCGCACCACAACTACTGAAGTCCGCACGCCTAGAGCCTGTGCTCCACAACGAGAAGCCACCACAATGAGAAGCACGCACACCACAACGAAGGGTAGCCCCTGCTCACCACAACTAGAGAAAGCCCAGGCGCAGCAACAAAGACCCAATGTAGCCAAAAATAAATTAAAAAAAAAAAGATGGATAGTGGTAACTGTTGAACAACGATGTAAATGTAATTAAATTAATGCCACTAAATTGTAATGCCACTTAAAAATGGTTAAAATGGTAAACTACATACCTGGGTGAAGCCAGATTTTCTTCACATACTTCAACTAAAACTACGTATCACAAAAGATTACAAGCAGGAGTGAATATGAAAATCCAGCTGTTTTCTATTAAGCCAGACAAAAAAGTCTGCAAACATTAATGTTAACATGTAATGAGTTTATTTATTTATTATTATTTAAAAAAAATTTTTGGCATTTGGTCTTCGTTGCTGCGCGAGACTTTCACTAGTTGCGGCGAGCGGGGGCTACTCTTCATTGCAGTATGCGGGCTTCTCATTGTGGTGGCTTCTCTTGTTGCAGAGCACGGGCTCTAGAGCACGGGCTCAGCAGTTGTGGAGCACAGGCTTAGTTGCTCCGCGGCATGTGGGATCCTCCAGACCAGAGATCAAACCGATGTCCCCTGCACTGCCAGGCGGATTCTTAACCACTGCGCCACCAGGGAAGTTCCGAGTTTATTATTTTTAAAGTGAATTAATAAACAGAACAATTTCAGTTTTAATTTGTCATATGGTAATAGATATCAATAGATACAGTCCATATAAATAGAAGCTCTTTGGAGAAAAATATACATATTTTTAGACAGGCACAAAAATATCTGGGAAAAAAAGCAAAAGAAATTGTTAATATTGCTATGTTGGGTGTGTAGGACTGAGAAACAGTGGTAGGCAAATGATCTGAGCAGGATTTTTTTCATATTTAATCTTAGGCTTTGTTTGAACTTCATGTTGCTGCAAATGGCATTATTTCATTCTTTTTTATGGCTGAGTAGTATCCCATTGTATATATACACGACATCTTCTTTATCCATTTATCTGTCAATGGACATTTAGGTTGTTTCTTGGCTATTGTGAATAGTGCTGCTTATGAACACAGGGGTGCATGCATCTTTCTGAATTATAGTTTTATCTGGATATGGACCCAGGAATGGGATTGCTAGATCGCACAGTAATTCTATTTTTAGTTTTCTGAGGAACCTCCACATTGTTTTCCACAGTGACTGCACATTGTTTTCCACAGTGACTGCACCAACTTACATTCCCACCAACAGTGTAGGAGGTTCCCTTTTCTCCACACCCTCTCCAGCATTTGTTTTTTGTAGATTTTTTAATGATAGCCATTCTGACCGGTGTAAGATAGTACCTCATTGCAGTTTTGATTTGCATTTCTCTAATAATTAGTGATGTTGAGCATCTTTTCATGTGCCTATTGGCCACCATCTGTATGTCTTCAAATGACAGTTATCTTTATGTATTATTTTTATGAGTTACTAAAAGTGAAAAAATGTAAATATAGCATAATCCCATTTGTGTAACAAGAAAATTATATTTAAACCTACATAGCCATATAAACTAACAAAAATAGTCTGAAAGGATATACACTAAAATTTAACACTAGCTATCCATGAAATGATGGGATTAAGGGTGAGCATTTTCTTCTTAACACTGGAATTCTTTTCCTGTGTGGGTGCATGGGTATTTTTGCAACAAGTTTTTAATATTTCTATACGTCATTTCATGTTAAAGCATGGCTGACATTATACCAGATTAGTTGTAAAACAATAAATAAATAAAGCAGGGGCAGCAATAGTAATAAACCAAATTAGAATTTAAAGTAAAAAGCATCATCTGATATTAACAAAGGATATGTTATTACAAGAAAGTTCTAATGGCCACGGGTCTTCATGCATCAAATAAAATAGTCAAACTATATAAAAGTTAGAACATCTCCCCCACCAAATAAACACAGAATTTATTAATGCATTTTATTTGCACCATGTACTGTCTTCCCACAGCATATAGAAAAGCATTCTCTTTGATATATTTGTTATTAACATTGGGAAAGTTAATATTATCAGCACACTAAGCAGAGGTGTATATATAAGAAAGTCTGGAAGGACATATAATATACTAAAACATCAAAAGTAGTTATCTCAAGTATGGTTATTAAGAACTTTAATTTTCAACTTTATAAACTCTTAAATTGTTTGTAGACATGTATTGGTTTTGTAATCAGGAAAAAACAAAGATATTACCAATGAAAAATAAAGAAATCTATAAAACCACATTCAAGTTCATCATGTCAAGTAGTCTTATTAAGTAACCAGAAAAAAAAGAAACAGCAGATTTTAATTGTACATTTAATAAGCTTGATTGAATACAGACACCAAACCTTCATCCCACAAAAAACACATTCCTTGACAACCACTGTTGTCGATAGTGGTTACTTCTAGGAAAGAAGGGAAAGAAAGGGAGGGGGTGCAGACAGGATGACATGCAAGCAACTGACAATGGGGGCTTCAATTTTATCTATATTTGTTTAAGAGAAATTTGAAACAAGTATTGCAAAATGCCTGCTTTCAGGAGCTGGATAGTAGGTACATGGTGGCTCCTTTTATCTCTATATTTTTCTCTAAATTTTAAGAATTTAATTTTTTAAAAATATATATTTTATAATGTTATTAAATGACAAGGACCTTAATATATAAATATTAAATTATATAAATAAAATGAAAGATTAATATGAAAAGGATGAACAAAAAAAAACAAGCTACTAGGAATTCCAAATATGTTTCTAAATAACTCTTGGGCCAAAGAAGAAAATGAAAAACTTTTAAAATACAGTTTCAGAAGAAAATTCACAGCCTTAAATGCAAGAAAGAGTACAAATAAAGCTGCAAAAATCATAATGCTAAAAAAAGGAACATAAACCTACAAAAGTATGAAAAAATACATTAAAGAGAGATTTTGCTTAATAAACAGAAAAAAGGAACTGATAAATATAAGAGCTTTTTATAAACAAAACAAATAAAATAAACTAGTCTCCAGCAAGTCTTGTTTTTAAAAAAGGAAAATAAGCATAATAAAAACAATGAGAAGAGAGGATAATAGAACAGACACAGAAGAGAGTAAATGATATGCTGCTTTGTATAGCCTATGCTAAATAACCTGGAAATCTCTAAGAAAAAAGCATCTTCTAAGAAAGCTTATCAACAAATAGATTATGAATAATGGGGAAACCATGAAGAAGTCAATAAAGAACAGGCAGAAATAAGTTTTCAAGTGCTTTCTTTAAAATCTATGCTATCTAGGCTTCTCAACTCATTTTATCAAGTCAGTCATTTTATAAAGCCAGCATATGCTTGAAATCAAAGCCTAACAAGGAGACAACACCAGAGTATCATACAGAGCAACATCATTCCCTCTGCCTAAAACGCATTCCCCTTAAATGTGCACATTCGTTATTTCTTTTCATCATTCAGGTGTCAGCTCAAATATAACCTCCCCAGAAAGGCCTTACTTGACCACCCTATTAAAATAACTTTCCTGATCCTCTTTGTTCTATTTTCTATACTCATCTTATTCATAGCATTTATTGCAAAGTTAAATTACCTAGAATTAAGCTCCATGAGAGTAGGGACTTCGTCTTATTTGCTGGCATAGTACCAGAGCCTAGAATTTAATTGCTCAAAAATAGTGCTGAATAACTAAATATCACTTAGGAGTATATTTTCAGAAATCCAGCACCCTATTCAAATAATATACCATAATTAAACAGTAATTTCAACAGATATCAAAAGGGTGCTTGATTAAATTCAACATCCACTCTTGATATATATTAATATACCAAGAATGGAAGAAGAGTCAATAAATATTTGAGAGCCTAAGACATACTAGGATCAAATTTATATGCTGGGAATACAGCAGTTAACAAAACCAAAAGAACTCTGCTCTCATGGAGCTTATTACATTCTAGTAGTTCTATCTCAAAATAATAACGTAACCAGAAACATACCTGATAATAAAACATCACAGGCATTATAGTGAGGACAAGATGTCTGCTATTACCATTATTAATTGAGACTGCTCTGAAGTTCTAGCCAATTCAATATGAAAAAAACCGAAAGATCCATATACTGAAAAAAAAAATCATGCAGTTGCAGATGACACAACTATCTAGAAAATCCAAAAGAATAAATTATAAAATATGTAAGAAAAAGGTTCACATGATGGTATCTGGTTACAAATCAAATATTTAAAAACCAGTATTTTTCTCGAAGAGTAATTAAGAAAAAATAAAGAAAGAGGGACACTATACTGAGAGATTTGGTCACAATCTTTTCTATGATTTTATAAACTTTGATCATAAAACTCACCTTTCTCACAAATTTATTTTTAAAGACTAAAGAGCTGTAAATTTGAAAAAACATCTATTGAGAGAAGATTCCTGCTGTGAAAAAAAATACGTGTCACCTGCCATCCACTGACAATTCCACCCAGAAGCAGGCGTCCAGACAGCCCTGCGTGGTGACTGCAGGCTCCTTTGTGATAGCAAGACAGTAGAGAAAGGAAAAGCCTTAACAGGGTGGTGGGGTTTTTTAATGGTATACTCATAGAGGAGACCTGCTACATAGGATGAATGAACCGAGCTAAAATGTATCCAAAATGGCTAAATCTCAAAACTTAACATGGATTGCAAAAGGAGGGACTTTGCAGAAAAGGTACAGTTTGTTACCTTTCACAAAATTTTTCAGACATTCATAAAAAAACAAAGAAACAAACCAAAAAAACACGTGTCTTTGAGATTTGTTATCAGACCAGGGAAAAAGAAATATAAGTAAGCTCACAATGAATCCTATTATACCTCTATGTTCCAGTTATGCTGTTCCAAGGTATGGCGACATTGATCCATAGATTCTATGCCAGTCAGATCCTGAAAGATTAAAAACAAAAAGTTACTTAGGGAAAAACTAACAGTACATATTGGATATTTTTACTCCTAATAGAATACTTATGAATACCGCTGGGAAAATAAAGTTTTGAAGGCAGATATTCAAGTATGGTAAAATGTCACTATTCAGAATTTATTCAGTCAGTTATTGTAGATGTTACTCCCATACAACAACAAAAAAATGAAAATTCCTTGTCTTTTAAAACTTCAAGGCTTTCAAGACTACTTGATCAAAATCAATATTCTCTCAAATTCAAGTTTAAAAAATGAAAGACTTCTTCAACCTCTGCGCCCAGCAAAATAGTCTTTAATGCTAAACATCTATTGTTTATCATACTGATATAAAAATGCAGGTTTTCTGCAAATGTAATGCCTTTCACTAACTTACATCATTTTACCTATTAGCTTATAATTCAAAATGTGTAAAACTTTTTATCAAAGGAAGTCTGTAATTCAGATGCTTCCCTCCAATATGTACTTTCCCTACTCCCTTCTCCTTGTACTATTCTCAGGTTTCACTTTGTCTATGACCAAATTTCCTTCTCTGGCTCTTCTCCTATCCCCTCTAAATGTAGAAATTTCCCTAAGAATGTGTCCTTGGCTTTTGCCTCTTCCTGGCAATCCTCAATGACCCTTTCTACTCAAATGACTCATAAATTTCTGGACCTGTCACCTTTTCTGAAGTTTAGCAGCACGTTTCCAATAGCCTATTCAACATTTCTACCTAGATGTGGCACCAGTACCACAAATGCATCATTTAAAACCACTGTATGTGTTAATGACATCACCACCTTCCAAAATATACAGGCAAATATGACATCTGGAACCTCAGCCTCATCTTTGAGTACTCTATCCCTTGAACTACATACTTCATCAGTAATCAAGTTCTGACTGTTTTCTATATCTATAATCACATTTCCATTCCCTGAGCCGGCATCTTCAATCAAGCTTTAATGACACCTCAAGTGAATTGTCAAAATAATTAATTTCTCCTCCTCTTTCTAACTCTTCCCCACCTCCCCTGGTCTCCCCACTCCCCTGTGTGTGTGTTATTTCTCTGCTCAAAAGTTTTCAGCTGACTGGATAATAAAATCCAAAATCCTTAGCTTGGCATTCAATTGTTTCTATAATGTGGCCCCAACCTAGCTTTCTACATTATTTTCTATTTCCCTTTAGGTGTCCGATACTCAACAAATCTAACAGCTTACGTGTACACCTAATGACCAGAATTTCCACAGAGCTAAATTCTAGCCTTGCTTCAAGGTCTAATACAAAAGCCAAACCCATCCATCCATCCTTTCATGCAACACATGTCTACTGTTTATTTCCTATTCTGTGTATTACTTACTATGTCCAGGGATATAGGGATGAATACAATACAGTCTCTATCCTCAAGAAATTCCTCTTAATAACCAGCAAGCAACAGGAAAAAGAGATTGATCTCAACCTGCTAAGAATGTCATAACATGTACTGGTGAGTCAGGAGCCTGAGATTCTCGCTTTGGTTCTGTGCCCTGTGATCAGTGACCAAACATGTTTTAATTCTAGCTTCCTTTATGTACAACGTGAGGGATTTAATTTGAACTATTTGGATATCCTTTCCAAAGCTTAGAAGAAAAAAACCAAAAACTGAACTTTGCATTCTTTAGGTATGCAGTCGTTTATTTTTTTTAATTACACAAGTAGTATAGAAACTTTGCTTTTTTCTTTAAACTGAACTATTTATTTATGGCTGCGTTGGTTCTTTGTTGCTGCGCGCCGGCTTTCTCTAGTTGCGGCGAGTGGGGGCTACTCTTCGTTGCGGTGCGTAGGCTTCTCATTGTGGTGGCTTCTCTTGTTGTGGAGCACAGGCTCTAGGTGTGCAGGTTTCAGTAGTTGTGGCTTACGGGCTCAGTAGTTGTGGTTTGTGGGGTCTAGAGAGCAGGTTCAGTATTTGTGGTGCATGGGCTTAGTTGCTCCGTGGCACATGGGATGTTCCTGGACCAGGGCTCGAACCCGTGTCCCCTGCATTGGCAGGCGGATTCTTAACCACTGTGACACCAGGGAAGTCCCTGCTAATATATTTTTATGTTTAAAATACTACAAAATTTTCAATACTGCAATTGGAAAGCTCTGTTAAGAACTCAAGAGCTCTATTAAGAACCACTGGCTTTGACAGCTCTGACAATGTGGATTTTTTCCTGACCTCTGCGGGCCTCTTACCAGTTTGGCTATTGCCTTCTGGCTTATAATAGGATCGCCTTTAACTTTTGATTTCCTTACAGCCCATTGCAGATAACTGGGATGTCCAGGGTTCCACTCCCTCTCTGTACATTCTCTTTAAGAATTGGGACTTTACTTTTACCTTCTTCTCAGGGTATGAATGACTACTCTGTCTTTACCAAAAATGTTTTCTACCTCTCTTATGAACCTATTATTTTCTATCAGTTATTATGACTATTTACACTCATTCTACTGCCTTATCAGAGGATACATGCTCCTTAAGGGCAGTGTCTGTGGTTCATCTCTATATAATGCTCCCCAGTACCTAGCACACAGTTAAGGGCTTAAAAGGCTGCAGAAAAAGTCTGTCCGAGTTAAAAAGACCTTTTAGTATAAGCTTCAATAATCATAGCTACTAAAGTGAAATCCTCTAGAAAATGTCACCAAAACTCATGGTATATTAATACCCTGGGGTTTTAATTAAACTCTATCTAGTCAGAACTAGATGCTAAGCTGGCTGTTAAAAATATGTATTTGCAGAATCTTCCTGGAGATCAATAAGTCAGGGATGGAGCCAAGGAATCAGTGGGTTTTTTGAAAAGCTCCTCAGTTGATTCTAATGTACAGTCAGGCCAGGAAATCCATGGTACTGTACAATTCTAAGTGGGACCAGAGATTATACGTCACTTATTAAAATAACTTTTTAAAAAAGGGGTTATGAACACTGTAGGAGAGAACAATCAGGGTAACTGTACATCTTCAGTATACTGAAATACTTAACCTAATGCAAGCAAAACCCTTTTATTGTATAAGTAGTGAATCAGGGTAAACTAGAAGCCCAACTTGAATAAGCCTGCTTTTCAGTCACTACTGATGAGTATTAAAAACATGCACTAGCAATATGCTAGGAAAGGACTATTCATATATCAACAAATATTAACTGATCTGGTATTCTAGATATCCAGGATACAAATACAGTCCCTGCACTCATTAGGCTTGTATCCTACTAGAGAGAGGCTGAGCAAAACAAACCACACACATAGAGAAAATAAATGAACAAAAATTTAGGCTGGGGATTCCTCAGGATACAGTGCTCAAAGAAGGACTCTCCAAGGAGATAACATTTCAGGAGAGACCTGATGAAAGATAAGGGTCCAGTCATGGGAAAATATGTGGGAAGACTATTCCAGGCAGAAGGACAAATGCAAAAACTCTGAGACAAATGGATACATGACACTATGCATTTGTCAAAACCCACAGAACTTTACAGCAGAGTGAACCTTAATGTACAGAAATTTAAAAAATAATTTAGAAGGTGAGAGGATCCCAGGATGGAACACAGACTGTGACAAAATAATCTAATTGTATTAAAAATATATGAAACAACCTCACTGAATGGGGTGGGAGGAAAAGGTGTTAACCTAAAACTCTGGAAATGAGTGAAGTCTGTAAGACTAAAGGCAAAAGGAACTGCACACAAGCACTGTGCTCTAGCTGACAGAGTTGGTTCACTGTATATGTTCATTCTGAAGCACTATATCCATATACTTATACTGGAAATGAACAATAAAACAGAGAGTGGGAGCCAGTTTTCTCATTGTTGAAGCGGGAAGTTACAGATAGTCGAGGGGAGAAGGCAGGAATGATCCATGTGGGTGAGAGTTGGAAACATCTGAATCAACTCATTTTTAAGTTTAATTTAGACAGATGGCTGCATATAGAACTAGTTAGCTTAGTATACACACATATGTCTTTGCTCTATCAGCTGAGAGGGCCTAGAGGCAACAACACACACCCCAATAGCAAGCACACATAATGCCCAGATTCTGGTTTATAATACTGTTCTCCAATAAAAGGAACCAGGTTCCTTGGAGAAATGGCTAATTCTAGGACTGGAGCAAAAAATACACAAGATGAGCCTGGAGAATCCTGTAGTTCCAGAAAGTAAAGGAGTGCTCAAAAAACCCCATAATGATGGGAATATATCAAAGTGATACAGGAATCAACTGAAAGAGCTCCCAATGGCCAAAGCTGGTACAATTTGAGCAAGAAAATAAAGTAGTAATAGGTTATAATACAAAATACAAAATAAACATCCTTGAGTCCATATGAACAGAAATACATGACTGAATAAATAAATAAATGGGGGAGAATAGACAAATTCTGTGCAGAATTCCAAATAACTATGTAGATACTTTGCCTTCTAGGAGGTGGAACATAACTCTTCACTCCTTAGGTATGTATGGGCTGTGCATAGTGACTTCCTTCCAAAGAGTACAGTACGGAAAAGGAGGAAAAAAGATTAACTTCATAGTGGAGAAACCTGACAAACACTACCTGAGCAAGATGATCAAGGTCAACATCAATAGCGATAAATCCTGTTGATAATATGTACCCTTGATAAAATGTAATGAAAAGGCACTTTACCTCTGTGGTCTTCCTCCCCAAACCCCAAACTCCAGCCTCATCATGAGAAAAACATCACAAAAATCCCAATTGAGGGACAACCCACAAAATACATGACCAGTTCTCCTCAAACTGTCAAGGTCATCAAAAACCAGGAAAAGTCTGAGAAACTGTCACAGGCAAGAGGAGCCTAAGAAGGCACAGTCACTAAATGTAAGATGGGATCCCAGAACAGAAAAAGGACATTAGGTAAAAACTAAAGAAATCTGAATAAAGTGTGGACTTTAGTTAATAATAATGCAATAATACTGGTTCATTAATTGTGACAAATGTACCAAACTAGTATGTAAGATGTTAATAAGGAACACTGAGTG